GTATTCACACAACTGTTGTGTTTGTTTTTGTGTATAAAAAAATGGCCTCATGCTGGAATTTGACTTTTGCATGTATTACCATTTCTATAAAACGTTCCCTGGTCATTAGAGCGTGTGGCGACATTTGAGAATTGTGTTGATCTTCCTCTTTTCTGCTGTGTGGGAGGTGGACATACTTCCCACTACACAACTATTGTATAAAGTCAATTACTTTGTTTCACTGCAAGTTACTGCTTTCCTCTCGAAAACGTTACTTTTCAGCTCGTTGTGGGCGTCATTGTGTTTTTTTCCAGAGATATTCTAACTTAGTTCCAGGTCAGAAAAAAAGGGCCTTGCAAATGACAGAATATTTCCAATGTTTAGTTCAACATTGTGGTGGGGGGAGCTCAAACATCTTTTCTGGTAACTAGTGTTAAAAGCCCTGACCCGCCTGGGAGTGCTTCAGTCCTGCACCGGACCTGTCCACGTTCAGCGGCCACTGAACTAGCTACACGTCCTGTAGCTAGCTTAGGTCCTAGATCATTAGCCTGTCCGTCCGGAGGAGCGGATCCCTTTCTCATATGGGTCTCCCTCCCTGTGGGTTTCCCTAGTTCTCCCCAAGGTTTCTCACTTTTTCCCACTGGGTTTTTTAAGAGTTTTTCCTTGTCGATGCAGGAGGGTCTTGTTGGACAGTTAGTGTCCAACAGAAAGGATTGGTGATGATCAGGACACTTTAGCATTCTACAACATGTATGGACATTTTCTTCTGTGTGTGCTTTATATTTTTCAAGTGTTTTAACTGTTGATTCTCTGACCTGTGTTGGTGATTTCAATGGTTTTGTTAAGTCCTCTGAGATGACTTCTGTTGTGACCTAGGGCTATACAAGAATACATTGTATTGTATTGTATTGCATTAAAAGTACAACTGTCTTAGTTTAGAGCTAATTTCTCTCATTCACACACCAAAAAAGGCCAAAAAATAATCTACATGAAAAAAACTGTGACAAAGTTCCACATATTTATCAGTACATTCTGTATATACTAATTATTTTCTCACGAAAGCATCTACTGATCTTCTGTTGCATTGTATTACCCCTGTTTGCAACTTCTATGTATCTATTTGTTATGTTTCTGTGGATGGATGTGTTTCTGCTGCTACTGGACGCCTGAATTTCCCCTGCGAGGATAAATAACCATCTATCTACTGACTATATTCAAAAACAAACCCACAATGTCAGCCAGGGGAAGGGACTTTCAGACACCAGAAGAATAGAGAGGGTTTGGGGAATCTATTCATGAATCACAAAAGAATTATCTGGGAAAACATTTGGACATTTAAATTTTCAACACTTCTTCTTTCCAATAGAGTTGTATCAGAACCTGGTGACTTACAGTACAGTATAACTTGTACTTTAAACAAAAATCATAAAGCCATTTGTTTTACCGGAAAGCAGAGAGCCGTGTTCCATAAAGGTTTGAAAGGAACCTGAGGGTTTGGTTCAGCTCAAAGGAACTTCAACTATGGCGCAACAAAAAATCTCTTCTACTTTTTCCAGTAAAGTAGCAGGTCACCGTCGTCATTCATACTGCCAGGAAGCACCGCCTGGAGGGTTTTAGGCTTGCTCCAAATATCTTTCTTTATATTTCAACTGTTTCAAAATAAATAAAAAAAACATTGCACAGGTAAACCGATGCTGCAGAAGTCTTGTTTGGTGAACCTCCTCATCCACACATCTTTAGGGCCCGTAGCACGACTCCAGGCGAGTAAACAGATCCTGGTGAAATCATGGAAGTGTGTGATACAGACACGTGACAGGTGGAACAACATGTGTCCTAAAAAGGAAGAGGAGGGCCTTTAAAAGCGTCTGATTGGAGCTGCAGTCTCACTGTCAGCCTGCATGATGAGTACAGGAGCTGTGTGGCTGCTGCTGCTGCTGGGGACCACAGGACGGCATCTCACCGAGCAAGGTACACTTTAATATTGTCCAAATGTAACCTACTGTGTATGGTTTTTCAGGTATTTCTGTCGATGGTTAAAATAATGTCGTGGTATTTTAATTTAAAACTATTGAAAGCTGGTGAAGTCCAAAGTCAATGATTCTTAATTATGCAGCTAATATGCATTGTGTGTTTTTGTTTTGTGTGTAGTGGATTGCCAGGACACCATTGAATTTTACTGGTTAAATAATAATAAAATAGATAAAGCTGGATCTCTCAAACTTTTTCCTATAAATAAAAAAAAATTGTCCCAACAGGAAGGGTCCAGTAAAGTTTATAGTAAAAGAATCAGACCCACAGCATTTTCTCTTCATGTATTATCTTTTACATAAATGTAAAATACCTGCAGTAACTGTGCGTCACTATTGGACGCTTTGGGCCGAGACCTGATTGGTCGAATGAAGGTTCTTTTAAATTTGATGTCTTGAGAATCTGTGGTAAAGATCTTTCTGAAACTCATATTCTGCTTCTGTTATTGATCTATTAGACATTGTGTAAATAGTTTTGATACAAAGGCTCTAAATAGACTGATCTGTTGTGGTGATGTCTCAGTGAGTCTGCAGCCTCCGGTCCATGTGAGGTTCAGTTCTGTGGACTACAAAACCAGTGTGCTCTGGGCCGCGCCCTCCAACTCCTCCGCTCTCAAATACCACGTCCAGTGGAAGATGTGAGAATGACCTTTATTTTACATTATCTTGGCATTGTTGCAGTACATTTAACATTATTATTATTATTATCATTATTATATTTTGTCATTGAGTTGAAGTGTCAGATTTCTTTTGACAGATTTCTTTTGACCATTTTTCAGAAATTTTGAAGCTAACAAAAACATTCAACAATTTTCATTCATTGTCAATGGTCGAGTGAAGGGTTACGTTATTGTTTCTATTTTCCAATTTTAACAACAGAAACTCCTCAAATGACCCCGATTACATTTGTTATTATTTATTAAAAACTTATATTTTCATTTTCCAGCGTAAAAAATGCAAGAGACAGAAATACTCTCTCACACACACACACACACACACGCAAAGCTTCCATTTCTATTTGGGGAACAGCCTCCAGTTCCTATAAATTCCTGGGCTGCCGTACATGAACTGCACTATTGCAGTTCATGTACGGCTTTACAAACCCAGTGTTGCATCACCAGATACAGAACAGTAGGAATGAAGAGCACACAGCACAAGTTAAGTCAACAACAACTTTTTTTCTAAAATAAAATACAGTCTAACTTCTTCATAATAACAAAGCAATTATAAAAGACTGTATATAAATATATAGTAGTATTTATATACTATAGTATAGTATATATAGTATACGTCTGTACATGTAATGATATATTTAGTCATGTATGGCCAGAACAGAGCAGTCCTGGGTGTGTTGAGCTGACGGAGGGTATGTGTGCAGCTATGGCGAGCCCCGCTGGGTGGATGTGGACCACTGCCAGGGCACGAAGAGCCCCCAGTGCAGCCTGAGCCACGAGACCTCTGTCCTCACCGAGTGGTACTACGCCCGAGTGCGAGCGACCTCATCCACGTCGCAGTCTGACTGGGTGGTTTCTCCCAGATTCAGCCCCCGCTGGGACTGTACGTCACATCACTCACAACAACTTCTTTCTGTGTATTTCAATCATCATCATATTTTACAACAAACGTCTTCTTTGTGACACGTCCAGTGTAAATATACAGTACATACAATACAATAAAGGCCTGGATTGAGATAAATACAAAAACTAAACCAGTGTATATGAACATGAGACAGTAGATTAATCGTAAAAGAGTCTTGTAAGGTCTATCTTGTCTTCTCAGTAGATTAGTTGCAGAAATATTAAGATTTGGTTCTTCTGTAACAGACAATAGTTAGACAGAGGGAATAACATCACTATCCCATTCCTGGAGGAGGAATTGTATAATACAGTGCTTGAAAAGAACATGGCAATCTTTCTTTATAATAATGAGCAAAACCATGTGATTTTTGTAAATATTTACAATTAACCATACATTACATTTTCATAATAAAACTGATTAACTCGCACAGCTATATTCACATCATAAATTTTGCACAGAAGAGACTATATTTTAACCTTTTAACACCCTGAGTGATCCTATCCAGGCCAATGCGACATGTACATTTCTCCATTGTGAGATCAATAAAGTTTATCTCATCTTATCTTAAAGGTGATATCATAAACTTCAATTGTATTTAATTAGTAATATAAGGCATCTCTCCGACCATGGGACACTGCACTATTATGTACAGTAAGTACTTTCCAACCATGATATATCTAAAAGAGTCCTTCTCCTGGGTGTGACTGCGACCAGTAAGATTTGCTGGAGGAGAACAGTTGAACCAATCAGGAAGCTGCGGAGGTGAGTATGGGCGGGTCTAACCAGGGCTCGTCATCAAGATGTTTCACTCTCTCTTCACACTCTGAAAAGTAACTGACTGTAACTTTAAGAACATGTGTTGTATCTGTGCTTATCAGTCGAACGATAGTGTGTTTTTAATATCTTTATAACCTTCACACAAATGGGTCGTAATCAACCACATTTTGGAAAGATGTGACTCTGTATGATTGTGTGATGTCTTTTTCTTGTTTCAAGCCGTCATCAGCGTTCCTGTACTCAGGGTAAACGCCACACGCAAAGGGATAGTGGTCCGAGTGAAGCCTCCGCTCGCACAGGTGCGGAGGAATCACAGGGATTTGTACTACAAGATCTACCTCCGGAGAGGAAGCAGAGACGAGGTACAACACATGTCAACACAACACAAAATACATCCACACAACGTGTAACATGTACATGAAAAGTGCAGTTTGGGGATGTGTACTTTTCTCTTAAAGGAGCAGTATGTAAAAATCTGGCCAAAAGTGGTACTGCAACCTCTCCCACTTTCCCCCATGGATCTATTATGATAACTCTCCCATTACTCAGGTTGCCAGATATGCAAACGAATCCAGTTGGGACCATTATAATAATAACTGAACAGATTATTGCGTTTTGTCAACAATAGATCTATAACCAACACCTTTTTCACAAAGATAGAAATCCTCGTTTTATTCCTTGTTTTGTCATTAAATATTTGAGAATCACAAGACCTTTTTTAGTTCTGCGGCCACATGTTACTTTACCAGTGAGATTAGCTCGACGCGGTGAGTTCTGGCACCCGAACCAAGGTCTTTCTGATTGGTAAAACGATCATCATGAAAACAATAACAAGATTTAGGGGCTGTAAAACTAATTTTGAAATTCTAATTTTAACACATTAGGGCCGTTTAATGATGACTTGACATGAACATCTTACATATTGCTACTTTAACTAAAGCTAACTAAAGATATTCTGGTCTGTTTTAAATGTGTGTTTTTTTAATTTACAATTTTTATACATTTATATTTTCTTGATACTCTTGTCCCCTGCTCTCGTGGTCTATGATGTGAGAACAAAACAGATTATAATGTTATATTGTTTAGTTTTGCATCTATTTTGTGTTGTTTTATGGACATTATTCTGCAAAAAAATACAAAACAAAAAGTTGTAAAACATTTTTGAATTGAGTTTAGTAATTTCACGTTTGGAAAATAGTGTAGGTTTTCAAACAGGATTTGCCAATAAGCAAAAATAAAAGCTATTTCTCTAAAAATAAGATGTCTTTGCTTGTTCCATTGGGAAGTATTGTTTTGAGCACTTGAATCAAGATCCAAAACCAAAACTACTTTATTCAATAATTTACCGCTGCATGGTTGCATTATTTTTGCGATGCATAAATCAGTTGAATTTCAGCGGTTTCTTCTTTACTGTAAATATTTGCACTGATTCCACAGGAGGAGCTGGAGATGAAGTGCTGCTTTCACAAACTAAATATCCAGGATGTGACACGCAGGAAGACCTACTGCTTTCAGGCGCAGACTATACTCCCCCTGCAGGCCCGGAGGAGCAACCGCAGCCCAGCCAAATGCATCACCTTCAGGTACGGACATGCGCTTTAGATTCCCATGTTTTTGGAGTTTTGAGCCAGACAGCCGGGCAGTATCATGAGTGAAAGCCAAACCTGGTGTGAAAACAAAAGAAGAGAGCAGTATCCATGTCGCTGATCGTCCAAAGCCAGAGGCGCAGAGACAGAAAGGGAGGGAAACAGAAACTCCTCAGGGAGAAATCCGGATGCTCATTTTCCCACAAAGGCTATAATACGTCTGCCCCGCCCTCTGCGCTAATTATAGATCAGTTGATGTGCCTTACCTAGATAAAGACATGAACAAAACAAAATTAAAGTTTGGGTACCAGTTCTACAAATGTACAGGAAGCCCTACATATTGTCCCACTTACAAACTTTTAGAACTACTGTTGTAACCTGCTTAAAGCTGGGGTATGTAACTTTCAAACACAACAGAAGTTAAAGGTATATAGGAGGATTTTAGCAAATTTTAGGAAAGAACCGTCCTTAGACTTGGACTGAGACAGACTTTATTGATCCACGAGGGAAATTGTGTTGTTGCAGTAGCTTGCATAGTGTTCAACATACAAATAACAATGAAAATATGTTGAAAGTAACAACCTGAAAATAAGAATAATCTGGATATAGGTGCTCAGGAATATACATATCTGTGAGTATATACACATTTATCTGTAAATATACAATAAATGCAAAACCAAAGCAGATAAACTTGACGTCTGTTTGGATGACAAGTTCATCTGTCCTCCACTTTTTGAACAAAACTCTCTCGTCTTATTTGACGAGCACAAATCACCAGAAGGATTGACAATGGGGAGGACCAATAGTCTTGATGATCCACCAGGAAGTAGAAAATCCTCCTATGTACCTTTTTAAGTATGTAATAATAATCCTTATCACTAGTTCCCAAGTCACATCTACGTATTTTTGACCTTAATCAGATTTTTTGGACAATAAAGTAAAAAAAATGCAACCGACTTTTTACCCCATAAATGATAGACTTTGTTTGTCCCAACAGAAAATCCTACAAAAGGATTTTTCTTTATTTTATTGCTGTTTTGCATGGTTGGCTGAGATACATCCGTGTGAAAACAAGTGATGAAATCCAACTGTTGAGACACCAATAAATGTAAAATATATTTCATTAAATTGTTATATGTCTGTGTTTTGAAACTTACACACCTCAGCTTTAAGTAGTTACAACAGTAGCTCTCAAACTTTTTACACATGGTACCACATCAAAAAATATGTAACCCTCTCGTCCAAATGAAGGGTGCAAGTCATGGATAGGATTTACCTAAGATGAAAACTGAAAGGTGGAATTCTGCAACTGTGGCAAGGCAAGTTTATTTGTGTAGGACAATTCATACTCAAAGCAAGTCAAAAGAAGTAAGCGTTAACACTTGCAGCATTTAAAAGGAGTGGTTGAAACGTGGCCCTAAACAGTTGAGAATAGTAAATAGAGTGTTCTGTAGTTTGTGCTGCTGAATGACGTCTCTCTCCTTCTCTCTCCCTCTTCTTGTGACTCTCTTCTGAAGATGACCGGCCTCCTGGTTCTCCGATGTGCACCTCCTCTACTGCTTGAAACGACAACATTGCTACCTGTACAGACCGCCTGCTAACGCCGTATCGGACCAAACCCATCTGTGACTCCAATTGTAAATGAATCGACTTAATGAAGCATTTTTCTACCTCAAATGTCTTGCCCAGGGACAAACAAAAGCGTTGGAAGGAGCAGGAATGTGAGGGTAATATTGGGTTCTTTTGGTCATTGTAATATATCCAAAGAGAGTGAATAATTTGCATGACCGAAGTGAAAATAGTAAAATGTTTCCTTGTTTGGTTTGTGTTGTTTTTAACTTGTGTATGAATTGTGCTATACAAATAAACTTTCCTTGCCTTTTTGAGAGAGACATTGATATTCTGGTGGTGGACCTGCTTTCATGGAGTGAAAAGTGCACCTGTACATTCGACAAACATCAAAATCAAATGTTATTTCAGTAATGGTTTAGTCCAGAGGTGTCCAAATTTAATAATTAGCTATGACAGAACTGAAGTTGGCTGAATGACAAATGACCGTCCTACCAGCTATATTAGAACCTTATGCGATTGGACAATTTGACATGGACGGGTTTTGCGACAAAACTCTTTGACTAATAATTATAATGTTGTATCATCAGCAGCTTGGTCACTTCAGCCACAACATCATTGAGACATTTTGTATCCCCTTGGCTTTGGAGTGAAATAAATAAAAGGCATCTCAGACCGCAGACCTGTTTCTTGAAATGGTTTGTCGACCCGGGACAACAGTGGTTGTTGGAAAGGTTGGTGTGTTGTTTGGACCCGTGTCAGCAGTTCACCACAGGGAAGAAAGGACACGTTCCTTCAAAAGAAGTCAAAACAAACTTCCATCTTTCATAATGAGTCTTCTACAGTCAGTGACCCTTGGACCAGAGAGAATTGCAGTGGAACAGACCACGTCAAGTTTAAACACACTTTGTAAAGAGCAGCAGCCAAACTGACGGTGAGAGCTTCACTTTTGTTGCCCGGTCAAAAAGACATTTTCTTTATCCTCATTAAATTTTGAGATTCATTTCATAATATTGCAACTTCAACTTTGGCGTTAGAATGTTTTGACTTTAATCTCAGCGTCTGGCAAAAAATAACTGTACCTACACTCAGTCATATGTACAAGAAAATACTAACATTGTTAAACACTAAATTCATAATTTGAATAATGTCAATGGTTTATTGCAAATACGTTAATGTTGGTCTAAGTTTTAGGCTTTGTGAAATAATCTTGGCGGTTTTCATGAAGAACTATATCAGGGCCAGGTCACTCTGCTCCCTTTAACTAATTCTTACATTATATTTCAAAACTCCTGTAATAAATAGACACAAGACATTGAGCTTAAATTAGCCTTTATTTTAAAATGTTGATACTTCAATCTGTGGTGAAATAACCAATACTGTAAAGTTAAAATGCTCACAATGAGGGGTTGTTCACTACATTTTCGACTGGGAAGTGTCAGAACTCCCCGATAGCAGCTAGGATCAGTGGTTTTGGTCCTGGAGAAAGAATAGTAATTTGGTCCCTTAGCCAACAGTCTCACATTATTGCTACAAACTGAATGGAATGTCATCGGCACAGTGGTCATCAGTATCAATGTATCACCCGAATACGGCAGCATCAGACTTTTACAACCATCGTGCTGTGGGCCATCCTCAACTGTCACACTGACGTCACAGCAGCAGAACATGACTCTGATACTGCTGCAGATCAGCGGGGCCTCCACAATGTTCAACATGTACAGCAGTCACAACATGGAGTTCACATTCGACATAAGCTCAACAGACCAGAGACAAAAAGAAACACAGTATTTACACTATTTGGAAATATAGGCTCCCAAAGTGTATATTTCAAACAGAACTATTTTAGTGGAACAGTGATTTAAGTTTTCAAACAGCAATCATCTGTCAATAGTTCATAACAATGTTACATTTGTTTAAGGAAATACCCGGGAGTGGCCATTCTGAACACGGACAGACACAGGGCAGGGCAGCAGAGGCCATGACAGGTTAAAACAGTTGGGATTTTTATTCTCTATATTCTCTATATTTTTCATACAAAGCACCATGTGTTTAGGAGAAAAACCTGAATGTAAACATTATGTAAGTTCCAATGTGCATCTCCGTAAGGCACCAAGACGTCTCCATACTTTAGAAAATGCATTTGTTGCATAATTGACCTACAAAAAGGTCTGACAGTATTGCTTTTTGTTTTATGACCACTCCCAGACTGTGCAATCTTTCAATTACTAGAATCTTAACATTGACCGTACCAAAATAAAGTAGAAAAGAGATAGACTATTTCTAATACTTTTACAAAACCTATATTAGAAATATGCGACCCAAATGGTCTGTAAAATCTATTTGGATTTTGAATAGAAGACTCCGTAGTAACTCTGGTGTTTGGGAAAACCAGGTTGAGGCACCCGTACAGACCGCACTGCACGCGCAGTACAAACAGCTTGCAGCATCAAAGAAATAAAGTAGTAAGACATATGTACACGGACAATTGGTTCCACATTTTAGGGTACATGCATGATTTTCCAGCCAAAAACTAAAAGCATAGGTATTTGACTCTGCTAAAGGCAAGTTTCTTCATATTAAATTACCTATAAAAATATATAAATATAGAGGTGAGGGTTTGTGTTGCAAAAGGTGCAGCTGCGGTCAACGTTTAGCTGCACACACAGAACAGTGGAAAGTAAAAGCACATGTGTGAACAAAGGTGAAAATGAGAAGATCCTGTTCCACAACTACTTCAGTCTACAGCGGTTTGTGATGCTCTGAAACTCTAGAGAACACAGGGCTGCTTCTAAGGTAAGAACAATGGGCAGCCTACGGGGCCTATGACAGGAAGCCCTTCTCCAGTTCAAAGAGCGAGGGTCTGCCAGGGGAGCTCTGGATGCGGCACAGAGGCACAGTGCAGTCCCTCTTCTGGCCCTCTGTGTCCATGTCGAGCAGAGAGCAGCCCACAGAGCCGTCGGAGCCCAGCACCACGCTCAGGCTCTGCGCCGCTTTGTCTCCAGCGTAGTGGCCCAGGGAGTAGCTCTTGTTGCGGCTCCGCAGCAGGGCCCTAAAAGACACGGGCCGAGGTTTGGGGCCACTCTCTCCTCCAGAGGGCGTATCCACCCCACTGTTCTTCTCATTTTCCTGCTTCTTCTGCAGGATCAGTGGGTTTGGTTGTGTGGTGGGCCCATTGGCTGAGAGACAAAAAGAAACACAGTTTAGAGATAAAGCGAGTGCTTTTTCATTCCAAAATACATTCACCGGCACAAAGAGGTTGGTTATTAAATGATAGGAGTTGAGTTCGAGTGCGACTGAGTGTACACTTACGGAGGTTGTTGTTGTACTTCTTGCGGCGAAGGCGTGTGGCTGGGTTGTTGTTGCTGACTTCTGGCAGGGGTCTGCTCTGCGCGGTGGTCTGTGGCGCCGTGGGCTTATTGCTGTGACCGTTGACTGCAGGATCCTGCGTGGGAAGTGCTGAGTGGTTGTTGGTCACGGTGGCCTCCTCCCTCACTGAGCCGCTCTGGGGGATCTCGGCCTCAGACTGTAGAAGACATTTGGTGGAGTGGCCCTCCATGATGGAGAGGAGGTTGACCGCCGGGTTGGTGACGCTGATGTGATTGGGCGGCTCATCTTTACGCGGCCGAGTGTTTGGAGGAGAGGTGCTCCGGCGAAACCTGGTGGCCCGCTGGAAAAGACCCTCCTTCTTCTTCTTCTCCTCCTTTTGTGGCTCGGGCTCCTCAGGGGGGGTGGAGGTCTTGAGCGCATCACGCAGGTCAAAACCCAAGACCACTGATGCGAGCAGAGAGCCACAGCCGTAGAGCACAGTGTCAGTCCGACGGCGGGCTGTGGTCCTTTTCAGACTGTTGGTGGGGGTGTGCTGAGGGGTAGTGGAGGCTGAGGAGGTGGAGGTGGTGGTGTAGGGGTCCTCAGGGGTCTCCGTCAGCCCACTCTGACTCCCTGGACCTGCACTGCTGTCCCCAAACACACTCTGTCCACTGGGACTGTGGGGCAGAGGCTCGTCCCTCCACAGAGGTAGATCAATGTAGACCTGGTTGGGGAACTTGAGCTGCTTTGGTTTGTTGCTACTATCAGGAAAGTCCAGTGGAAACATTTCATCTTTTCCCAGACCAGCTGTAAAATCAAAACAGTGATATTGATTTTAATTTCAAACAACCATTAATAAACAGACATTTGTCTCCATGTTGTTCACCTTGTTCTGCAAAAAGAGCAGAGAGAGGGACATTCTTCTGACACTTGTCCAGGGCGGTGGACCAGGGATTACTGCCGTCTGAGAGAGGCCGCACTCTGACAGCAGACGGAACATTAACACACACACACACACACACACACACACACACCATCAAACCCAGACTAAAGAGTGCACACTGGACCATACCTCTCTGTTGCATTAGGTCTCTCCTTGACCTGTACCGAACTGGGACCCCATGTCCTTCCCTTCTTTTTAATCCCCTTCTTCACATCATCAAACTCTTCCGGCCTGCAGAGGGAGCTGCGGCCCCATGTACGGTTGCTCTCATCTTTAGTAACTGATGAACACAGGAGTGAAGCTGTTAAGATTCATTTAAAAATCCACCGATTAAAAGAGAGCAACACCACCTTTAGTAACCATACTTTGAGACATGCTTGGCTGTAGTTCTGACAAGGCATGTCCCAAACCCTTTAATTTGTTAGTCACAACGTTAACGAAGCCGAAATTGTAATAGTTGTTCCTTTTCTCACACATAAAACCAGTGATGGAAGCTGTAAGTACCAAAGCACCACACGTCTTAGAAAAGAGGCAGGTTGTGTTAGCCACACCAGTGTCACATGTGGGAGCTCAGTTCTTGCCTTTCCCGCCGTAGCACTCGCTGGTCAGATCCACGTCCTGCTGATAGACAAACATACTGCCCCTCTGGCCACAACACGTCGCTGAGGAGGGGGACAGCGGCGTTACCCCAGACACCACAGAGTACTATCAAAACAGCTTTTCTTTTCTGTGTCAGGGAGGGGTGGGGGCACGGGTCAAGTGTAGTGTCTGCAATACTGTTGTTTGACAGTAATATGAAGTGTCAATGCAAAGAATAAAGGGCATTAGACGCGTGGATATTTTTTTTTATGATTGAACACAATGAATACGGAGCTAGTAAAATTCTACTACATTTTTTTCCCCCAACATAATGAGTTTTGTAAAACATTTTGTGATCAAATCAGACCATTTAAAAAAAATAAAAATCTTAAACTGTTTTTACTTTGCACACAGCTTATGGGCTGAGAGCTGATTGGCTGAGTGAGGGTGGCTTTCTTATGTACTGTCTGTAACCGCTTTGTCTTTCAGAGGCTATTATAAAAGAAAACAAGAAATGGAGCCAAATCGTAATGAACTCCGTCTGACTAGTTCCTCTCTCTAAAAACATAATTCCATTGATGTGGTTTTGAAAGTAAGGTACCCCAGCTTTAAGCGATGCATTGTATTTTTGCAGTGTATACGAGTTGACCAAACTTTGTCTGAAGAGTTAGCGTTTTTGTTTCCTGTAGAAATATGAAAGCCCCGGGCGCAAACATCAGATGTGAGCAGTGTCTATAAAGTGTGCCAGAGGAATTTGTTCCAGTTATTGCAGGGGCGTCGATGCATGACTAAAGCCATTATCAAACTGTTCAAACAACTGGCTGTCAGCTTGTGGCTCTGGGCCTTTTGTTCGCAACGCTCTTTCACTGTGAATATTACTGCTCCCATGAAGTATCGCTGGAAACAAACCTGACAAATAATCACCAGTGTTGTTGACAGATTTTATCGAGATACAATTTATGCACTTGATCCAGCGCCGAGGAACCACAACACGTTACACTGTGTGCACTTTTGAGCTGTCACTATTACCTCAAAAGAAAAACGAGACGATTTAGTAGAAAGTCACCCTCACTAATTTACAGCTAATTATGTCCCAATTAGTGTAGCCTAACCCTAACCCTAACCTTAACCCACATGGGAAAGTGTCAGTAGTTAGTTAGATGTTGAATACGGCCATGTAGAATACGGTTCAAATACAAATAACAGCTAATTAACCACAAAATATACACCAATTGCCACTTAATTAGTGAGGACTAATCTAAAGTAATACAGAATAATCAAATATAAGATTGGGTTGGCATTATGCAGCACCTTAACATTGCCTCCCACAGACTAAAACCCAGGACTTTAGATGTTTAGGGGTCAAAATCACGTTCTCTTCTCTGAGTGCTCTGTCTGCCATCCTCCATGTGCAGTGACAGACGGTGACCCCCGTAGAGCAGAGAGCAAGAAGCCGCTCAGACAGGGGCTCGTTTCACTTGTGTGCCTGCTGTAGCAGTCTGGACCTGTCCAACAGTTCACATCAGAGCAGAGGTCTGGATCGTGCGCAGCTAAATGTGCTCCAAGCGCATTAATCCCGCTGGAGACGATCCCAGTGACGCAGCTTTCAGTCAAAAATGTATAGGAAATATACATCAGCATCACACACACCAGAGGCACACACTCGCAAAGCCGTGCCTCCTTTACCACCCTACTTTTCCACATTATTCATTTTCACACTTTCTGTTTTTTCCCTTTTAATACTTGCATGTATATATATAAATACCTAAATATTTGATGACATCCCAAATGCACTTGACCCTGCACAGTTATAACGTGTGTGAGACTTACGCTGAATGGCACGAAGGCGGGGGATGAGGGAGGGGCTGCTGGGGGGGGAGGAGCTGGTGCCATGGAGACTCCGCCTCTTCTTGTCCATGGAGGGAGAAGCCTGCACCGTGATCTTGTGCTGGAAATCTACCACATAACACACAGGCGCAGAGATAAGGGCACTCGCCTTAATATTTACAGTCTATGGTCTGAACAATAGGAGGACACACTTTCTACTCGCCTAGCAACAATATCTGTTGAAAATGCAATGAAAATGGTAAAAGCCAAAACGCGTATGGCAGCGATGAAGCGGGGCTGGTATTACTGCAAATGTAAAATTAAATGGGTAAATATTGCATAGGCCCCTGGTTTCTCTGATTTAGTGCAGGACAACATAACATGGTTTTGTAGTGCTTTAGTTTTTACATGTCATGATATTAAATAAGGCTAAAAAAGAAACTGAAATGTATATACACTTCTCTGACTCCAGTACTTTTGAAATGTATTCACGTATTACTCTGACTTAGAACATGTAATTTAATTGTGCAATGAAGGGGTAGGTGTTTATAATTCATTTGCACTTCGAAACCTTTTTAGCTCTATATAGCACTTAAACATTGTCTTTATGTTGTTGTATCAAATCTGAACTGAACTGAACTGAAACTTGGTAAAGAAAACACAGACATCCTGTCAGAGAGTTCGCCAGGGCACATATTCTTGACTCGGCTATGTCAGTCAGTACTAGGGCGAGATATATCGTAGATGATAATATCGCAAACGTGAATTTGAAGATATGCTTTTTTGCATTATTGTCAATAAAAAAAAAAAAAAACATATCTCCAATACGGGCAAGATGCCCGATCGTCAAATTCATGCCTAAAAGTCAATCACTGCTTTATTTGTACATTTCAGTAAATATTGATAAAGCCTTTTTGGATGTGTTCTTACTGTGTTACTTGAATGTGATTTTTAATGTTAATATTTTGAATGTTTGATGCACATTATGTTTGTGCATGTTTTGCAAAGATGTGTGAAGCACTTTACAAATAAAAAGCTGCTATTTTGATCTACACTATCCATAGACGCCCTGGCAAGCAAAACATTGAAAATCATTTTGTGTAAAAATGATTTTAAAGATATCGTGACATTGTTATTGGGACTTGGGGAAAGAGATATTTATTTCAGTATCAGTAAATAAATCTGATAGGCTTTTACCAGAGATTGCTTAGGTTAACTACAGTCAAAAACTAGTTTCACATGTCTCGGTGAAGCGATGGCGTCACATGAACGCAGGGAGCAGGGAGTCTAACCTGACGGCAAACTGATGCGGTTCCCATCCTTGAGTTTGAGGCGGGAGCGCTTGAATTTGCCCTTCCTCTTCTTCACGTTGGGTTTGTCTTTGTTGAGTTGGAAGATGAGGATGTTGAGCTCTCTCTCGAGCACGTTGATCTCCCTCTCGGCGAGCTGCTGCTCTCGTCGCTTCAGCAGCTCCTCTTGAGACTTGTGCTGAAGAGCGGCTCTCGACAGCTCCTCCTCCCGTGACCGCAGCTCCTGCAGAGGCCCAGGAGCAGAACCAGCCCGGCTTTGTCAAGGGGAATGTCATCTGAACAAGCACACTACACACACATTTTCTATTTACCTCATCCCCCCTGCATTCTCCTTAACACGCACAAAAGCAGATAATGCACAAAGAAAAGCAAGAGAAAGTGCTGTGTATCCATCGCTTACAGCTTTTAGTACACAACTGGTCTCTCCCATAATTAATCCATTTTGTTTTTTCTCAACACAAAAGTAATACTGCATTCCAATGTGATTTTACTGCAAATGGCAACCAAAATAAAGTTATTAAAGAGACTTGACAACAAAAATAACAACACGGCGTATGATAAAACAAGTTATTCTCTGTTAGACTCTGAAAATTAGAATAAAATTCAAAAATACAACATTTAATTTTGTATTTTTTTAAACTTAAAATGTGAAACTATTATATGAGATAAGTTTACATGAAATACATTAAAAGTGAGATATGTAAAGCCTTTGTTATAATTATGGCTTACAGTTCATTTTCAAAACATACTGATTTATTTGAGCTTTTTAAAGTGAGCCAATAATCGATATTGAACTAATACAGGATTGATCTTAGTTTGTACATTAGTTGGACATGAAGTACAGAAGTAAATTGACAAATAAAACCTCTAACACCTGGAGTTGACTGGCTCTCTAGTTTTCACTTAACTGCCTGAAAGATATTTGTATGTGGCCTGAAATGTAGGTACCTCAGCTTTCACAACTAATACTAAGCTGTTAATAAACAATAATAGCAGCTGTGATTTAGTCTGCCGTTGATCCATTTGCTGATCCTGCAGTTTTCAAACACTAATGAACCCCCCACTTTAAGCCAGTGACGGGGACTTGTAGAGAAAGCAGATTAAGGTCTTAACAAGGGGAAGTGCGCTCAACGCCTCCGCTCTAATGGGTTGTTTTGTTAAACGGCCGATTAGTCTGCTCACTCAACGTGGCTGGGTAACCTTACAGGCTGCATACGCTTTACCAGTGAGAAGCAACGGATTAGTAAAACAAAACGCATTTAAGTACAGGAAGGAGGGGGTAGTCGTAATGTATGATTATTAGGGCAGGGACTTTAACGCATTAATTAAGATTCATTAATAACAAACATTATTATCACATATTTCAACGCATTGCACCGCGGAACCTTTTCTGAATTGGATGAGTTCGACGGACTGATTATACCGTCAGACATGCTCCGGACAACGACAAACCGGTCAGCACTAGATCATGTACGGAATATATGCGGAAGTAAATATAAACAACTACCTAAACTAATAAATTCTTGCCTAAACTTAACCAGCCATTCCCATAGAATATTCCCAACCCTTAACCATCTTACTCAGACACCTAAAACTTAACCAGTCACCACTTAAAGGACAACTCACCCTCAAATCCACTTTTTTTTGCTGATAAACGGTATAAATGAGTGTCCAATAGTGTTGTCTACATATCCTGGTCATAATCTTGTCACTTTGGTGCAAATTAGTTGAAAGTTAGACTTTCTGCCTAAAACCGTCTGTGAGGCGCCATCTGCTGGCGACCTGTATTACTACATTTGAATTTTGAATCTGGCGCCAACACTGGCACAGAAGTTGGACCTGACGTCAGCAAGTTGGACCTGACGTCAGCAGCCCCCCGCCCAGAGCAATGTAAACGGCCCAGTCTCGTTCACGCCCCCTTCAGTCCTCCAGGCTACGCCCATTTAGAGGAAGATTTGAACAGGAAATGTGAGTAACGTAAGCTCCGAGGACCGGGGGTGAGAACCACTTTAAGGACTTATTAGTCTAAAACTAATTCGAAAAGTAGGATTGTTACTTCCGCTTTCGTATATGATCTAGTGCCGACCACGACAAACGAATAAGCCGAGCACATTGGTTAACCCCATGGATGGGAATGTTGTTGTAAAAACAAACTGAAGGAAGTGTGGATAAGGGCATGGTTGTGTTTGCATATCACTGCAGCACATGGACTATCACTTCAGTGCTAAACATTGAGCAGTTAGCAGCTAGCATGGACGTTAGCCCGAGCACAAGACCCACAACCAAACCAAACTCCACAATAAACAATATTTTGTCGCTTAAAGGTCTGTATTCAGCAATTATTCAATGGTAAACACAAAATCCGTGAGATGAAGTCCCTTATTAGGCCCGAGCCCCAACCGGGGTAAGGGCCTATTGCTTTTCCTGTCATAAGTCACAATCTCCGGGCGCAGATAAATCCGTGCCGGAGGCACGGAATGGCTTTGCTCCTGCTGTAGTACACAGTGAAATGATTGAGGTCCTATTAAAGGGGGGTTCCTTCAACTGTCTTACGGACGAATGTCCGGGCGAAGCGGCGCGTGCCCAGACACTGACAAAACAGTGCCGGAGGCACTGAATGGCTTTGCTCCTGCTGTAGTACACAGTGTAATGAATGGGGCCCTATGGGGGGGATGGGTGACCTCATAATGGCGAGGTAATTGACGAGCGCTGACGCGCTCGTCAATCACTGAGAACCCAATTGTTGCGTTCGCCTCGTCGTTCGCTTTAAAGCGACGTATCATTTGTATTATAGGTTACTATGGAAACCTATATTGTTTTTGCTCGAAGATTTAAAAAAAAAAATTCCTTGGTTTATTTCTTTCTTTTTTCTTCTGCGCTTTGAACCTTAATTTGACCCCCTAAACATTGATGAAAAGTTGTGAAATTTTGCCCAAAATTTCACAACTTTTCACAACTCAGAACCGGCAAAAAATTAATTTTTTTGGTGTTTATTTTTATGGGACTACAAAAATGCCCGAACAGCGTCCCCTACAAAAGTCAGTTTACATTGCGCCTATGGGAGCGGGTCGGAGGTCAAGTTTGTCGTAGAGCCACGAAATTCGGTACACATGTTCCTCAAGTCAAGACATGAAAAAAAAGTTATTATGGCTCCGCCCCCTGACAAACAGGGAGCTCATTAATTTCAATGGAAAAAGGAAAAATGAAAATTGATATTTTTCACACATGTCGGTTGGAAATTATCTCCTCCTCGGCCGTTTCACCGATTTCTCTCAAAATCGCTCCACATGGTCTAAACACATGTCCCATCAATAGCTGAATACAGAATTTTATTCAGTTAAACTTTGTCCAAGCAGCGGAGCGGCTAAATGTGACATTTTTTCCCCAATTTTTGACAAAAGTAAAATTGCTCCCATTTTCCCAAAAATGTCAGATTTTCACAAAATTTTAATCCATTGTTCACCTCCAGGGTCTAGGTCATTTTAAAGTTGAAATATTAAAATTGGCTCATTAGCGCCCCCTACAGACCATGTCAAAGTTTTACATGGGCTTTTTAAAATTTAGTTTTGTCAAAATGTTTGAAATTTTGCACATAATTCTGTTTTGTCATCTGGATTCAAAAAGTCAATGACAACATATGGTTATTTTTTACCCTGTTGCCGTGGCGACCACCAACACTCCCCTGTCTGTGTCTATGAGAAAATCGTTAAATCTCTGAAAATTACACCTTGCGCAAACATCAAACCAGCCGCGGCCGTTTCACTAATTTGGCTGAAAATCATTCCACCTCGTCTCAACACATGCACCATCAATAGTTGCATATAGAATCTTAATTAGTCAAACGGTCTGCGCGTGACAGACTCCCGAAGTGTGGTTATTTTCATAGAGAGGTGTGAAGTTCCCATGTTATCCAATGGAGACTGTATGGACACACTCACAGATTGTATGTGTAAACAGGAGCACATTTACAAACTCTGATTTGCACTAAACTTGACTCGGTTGTTCAACTCCTGGGCCTAGGTCACATGACATTGTGAACAATGACATTGGCCCATTAGCGCCCCCTACAGACTGAGTGAAGGTTTACATGGGGATACAGTTATTTGGGTTTTCTGTTGTTTGATCTCATATTTGACCCACTTTACAAACATGAAAACTCACCAAACTTTGCTACAAGTTTCTTTGAGGCATTAAGTGTATTATTTTGGTGTTGTTTGGTATAAGACTAAACAATTGAAATTGTAGGGGGCGCTGTTGTACAACATTAAATGCCTTCCGTTTGCACATACAAAGTCCGATTTGCACAACATTTGAATTGACTGTTTAACTCTTGAGTTTGAGTAAGCTGAAAGTGTGACTCATGAAATATCAGCATTAGCGCCCCCTACAGAATGTGACAAGTGTTACATGGGGAGAATTAAGTTTACCTTTTCAATAGAGACACACAATCACTGATCATAGGAATTCAAAATACAAAGTGTCGCTCCCATCAGGGCAGTGGGAAAATGGCGCGTCAGCGCCACCTCCTTTGCGCGGTGCGGCGAGGGCCGTTAGATGCCGCTTGCGGCTTTAATTAACTTTATTTTTCATTTTTATTGAGCCACAACTCAATAATTGCTCTAAACTAAACCAAAACACAAAACTGAACCTAAAGTTTCTGTTACCTTCTCTTTGGTCCGAAGCTCATCAAACATCTCTTGGATCTCCACGCGCCAGTCGTCCTGCATGATGTGGAAGGAGTCCTGGGGCATGGTGGCCATCACGTCCTCCTCTATGGCCGACAGCTGCTCCAGGATACAGGAGAACGAGGGACGCACATGCGCGTTCTGGTCCCAGCATTCTGCAAAACAGTCATTTACAGCATATTCGTCGGTCTTTTCTGGGAAGATCAGGAGAATCACGGTTCTACAGGGATCCAGGAAATTACTCAAAAACTCAAAACTATACATTTAAAACAACCAATTGTTCTGGATGATAATTAAAAGCAAAAACCCCTTAGAAAAGAGATAAATAAAAATAAACTAAACCCCCTTGATTATCTCCAGGAGTGGGGAATATATCAGAACTAAATTGTTGTGTCTGAAATGTCAAAGTCATTATCGGGAAATTTTGAAAAGATTTTTTTAAAGAGGAAGTTCTCATTATCGGAACTGCTCATGAAAGACAAGCTATGGTCAGCAAAAACACCTGCCACTATGAGCAAACCGACTAAGACCTATAATTTGAAATCCATCCACTCTGAATACTGTATATGCAACACTGTAAAAGATTGGCTGAATTCTGTGTTGGTGATTCTTTGCTTTTATGTAGCTTTGAGTGTGATTCACCTTCCATGAGCTTGGCAAAGGTTTCTGGACATGTGGATGGGATGGGTAAGGTCAGTTTATTGACTGCAACGCCGTATGCCACAGCGAGGCCATCGATCCCTCGGTACGGCACTTCTCCGGTTAACAACTCCCACAGCAGAACGCCATAACTGTGATAAAGAAAACACCAGTCAGTATTTCACTGCTGCAGACTCTGAGGGCCAGTAGACGCCTCCAGCAGCAGAGTACCTCCACACGTCGCTGCCTTTGGAGAAGAGGGACGACTTGATGACCTCAGGGGCCATCCAGGAGTAGGTGCCTGCGGCGGACATCTTTGTGGTCTTGTGCCACTCCCGGGCCAGGCCGAAGTCCGTGATCTTCAACGTCTTCCTCCCGATGTCGTCATTCTCAATCTTTTCAAGTAATAAAACTGAGGAACAGAACGTATATTTCAGTACATATTTTTTCTATCTATTATTACAAATGTAAATCCAAAAAGACAAGAATGTTGGGCAAAGCTGTGATAAATGGTGGATTTGGAAAGGAAAATGCTCTTTACTTTCAAAGCAATCAACCCAAAAGGACGTTTAAAAACAGCTATATTCAAAGATTTGTAGAAATTGTAGAAAGGATTTTTTACGACCTAAATCAATACAGACAAAAGCAGATCGTCCAACTCATAAGTACATTTTTGCTAACATTGTGTTGTGTTTGGTGACTGCAAAATGAAATCGCGTGAGGAAACAACTTATGTCTCTTTGATCCTTTCACGCTCACGGTGTTATTTTCAACATTTTGTTTTTTAACCCCTGCCAAGACCTCCTCACGTTACAGACTGTCCATTTCATTATTGACACGCAAAGATCCTACCGCAAGTGCCTTTATGTTTCTCTGCTCCAGCGGTATTCTAAGGTTAAAAGCCTTAGGAATGCTCTTTACACTTTTCAAAGCACACAACACAATTCAGAAATTTGAAAGGTTTTTAGACCTAAATCAATACAGACAAAAGCAGATCGTCCAACTCATAAGTACATTTTTGCTAACATTGTGTTGTGTTTGGTGACTGCAAAATGAAATCGCGTGAGGAAACAACTTATGTCTCTTTGATCCTTTCACGCTCACGGTGTTATTTTCAACATTTTGTTTTTTAACCCCTGCCAAGACCTCCTCACGTTACAGACTGTCCCATTTCATTATTGACACGCAAAGATCCTACCGCAAGTTGGCCTTTTATGTCTTCTCTGCTCCAGCGGTAATTCTCAAAGCAGTTTAAAAAGCCCCTTTAGGTCCCTTAACCTAGCAACTTAAAGTAAAAATATTGTACAGGAAGACAAAGGAGTGTGATAAAACCAGTGTTTCCTTTGTCCACACTTGGACCTTGTGGTCACATTCCCATGGGAAAAACAACAGAGATAACAGTAAAGACACACTTTCAACTCGCCAGTGTGTACGCGCTGACAAAGTTACAATTTAGAATGTTTGCTCTTATCAATTAAAAGCTTTCAACAAATAGAACCTGAATGAGCTCCAGGCTGCATTATCACTGCTCTACGACCTTGGACAAAACACTCTTTAGCAACTGGAAAACAAAAAAATGCAGTAACAATGTTCAATAAATTATGAACAATGCAGTGTTATTATTTACATTTTATTTGCAGTATAGCATAAAGCAGCTTCAATATGATCATTTATCACAGGGCGGTAGCTCCCCAAAGGACTTGGAAATTACCAAAAGTTGGATAGAGACTAAAAGGAGTATTTAGTGCCAATCCTGGTCAAACAGCTCGTAGGTCATTTTCACAGAACAAAGAAGGATGAGGAAGGAGGACAAAACAGTTTCATGCAAACATAGCTCTGATTCTGGAGAGGGGAATAAAAATTAAACGTTACAGTTTTACCAAATGGCAGATGCAGGCTACAGAAACGATTGCGGTGTGTGTGTGTGTGAATGGTTGGTGGTGGTCGGAGGGGCCGATGGCACATACTGGTTGCCTTGCTTGTCAGTGTGCCCCAGGGCAGCTGTGGCTACATTAGTAGTTTATCCCAGCACAGATATGAAGTGCTTAGTTGAACAGACTCCTGTTGTGCACAGTACATTGCATACATGCTGGATCTTTATTTCCTGGTTTGTAGTCATTGTTTGTCCTATAGCAGCTTAATACATTGAAACACAGCGCACATAATTGGAAAGGTTTATCAGGTGGTTTCCTGCCAATAAATCTAAATAGATAAAGTGTTGTCATTTGCACTATAGTATCACAGGTGGCGGTATGGCAGCTTGACCTTGTGCAGAGAAGTTTGTCTCGGTGAGGTGACAGATCCACTGACCCCACAGACATAACGACTGTTGTGACAAAACATTTCAAACAAAAATTCCTCGGCCCTGGCTTCCTCGAACTTGTGCATGACTGAAGTCAGGCTAAACATCCTGAAGTCTAGCCAGCTTTACCTACTCAACCATTATAAATGCATACTACTGGTGTTGTTCCTCAAATGGCAAATAAACAACCTGATAAATTGATAGATAGGTAAGAGTTAGATTGAATTTCTGATAAATCATCAAACTCTAAGGCTAGATCATCATTATACTGGTATTTTTTTTATTTTTTAGAAAAGGAGCAACTCTTTTCCATTTTATGTCCTGAAAAACTAGCTCTCTATGGGCATGATTTTGGCATTGGTATATTTCAAATATTATTTATAATTACAATATTTTACATTTTGTTTTATACAGGCCAAAATGGTTTGATGATTAAAAAAGTGATTTCCCAGCAGAACTACTACTATTATAGAACAGCATGTACTTGCAGCAACAGCACATTTTTAAAGTCGACTCTTAACTATAAGGGTCCGAATTATTATTGAACAAAGAAGTACAGAGAAAAAAAAAGGGGATATCTAATCAAATATCCAGTATGATCGCACATTCATGGAATCTTAAAAGGTTCTCTCATCTCATCCTTGATTTGCAGTAATTATGACACCTACACTTTTGTTCGACTACAGCGGAGGTACCAGTGTAAATAGCTCGTCTGGGTCTGTATTAAAAATACACTAATGGTGCCATTACTTGCCCTGGGCTCCGAGGGGATCCTCTACCTTGGTTGCGACAATGGGAATTCCATTACAAACAAGTTTCACTGCAGCAGTGATATACTCCTACTTCCTGTTGTGTAGCACTCTCTGCGATTCCATAGATTCCTCCCAGCAGGCTCTGTGCCCATAAAGAGTTATGATGGCTTAGTTACACAACCCAGCAGAACAGTGGTTTGGGGATAAACCCGCTCTACGCTGATTGGCCTATTGAATATCATGCCAAATACTGTCTTTGTTGCTGCCTAGTACTTCAGTGTCAGCCCTCTAGAAATATCTGATAAAAGACAGTATCTTCTGTCGACATGACTCCATCCATGCTGACGTTGATTACACAAAAACACCTTTTGGTTATACAACTGAAGTCATAACTTTACACCCACCTCACCAAAGTTTAAAACAAAATGTTGTCCTAGGTCTGGTGACTCAATACATGACTTTAATAAAGTGAAATGTCAAAATATGAGGAGGAAAGCAGTACTCATCACATCATGAGTAAACTCTGAGAGTAAGAAGTTCACATACACTAAAGGGGCGTTCACACCGGATCATGCATTGCGTCCAGTTCCAATGTCAATGTCAATGGTGACGTCCATTAGTGCGAGGAATTGCATGTGCGTCGCCTGAACGCCACTTCCGCCCTGGGCAGTACTTCAGATTTTTTGGCAATTAATTCTAGAACAGCATGGACCTAGTAAAGATGTTGTTGTTGGTGTAACAGGTAAAGTAAACCAACAGGAAAACAGATCATGTACAAACACAATCTGAATGGTGGCTCAGCCAAGAAGAAGCCACTGCTTCAAACCCCCAGCAAAAAGACCAAACAGTTTCCAGAAAGTCAAACCTTTATACCCTTGTGCTTTGGGAGACGTATTCAATTCCCATTGTTGTTTGGAGGAAAAAGCATGGGACTGGTGTTCTGGTAGGATCATGAAAAACGAGAATTATGCGAGGAGGTTGCAGCCATCGATTATTTGATTCATTAATCAATCTAGCACTTATACAAACAATAAATTGAGTAACCGGATAATTTGCAGTTTCATTCGTGGCTCAGTGCACAATGACACAAAATGTGGAACTCAACTTTATTTAACACACATAATTGGAATATGTCAGTAGCGGTTGTAACATAAAAAAAGCATGTAAAAATCCCGTAAAATCCTGCACTATAAAAATTATACATTACATTAGTTTTATGGAATAACATTTGACATTTTATATATTTCAAATATCACTTGGCCAAACTTGGAATTGCTCCATCTCATAAAAACAAGAGGTAGCAGGAGAGCGAGGACAACTGCAAAGCATTTCATTTACGCTGTAAACGGTGCGGGAGGAAAAATACTATTGACAGCGAAGAAGTCCACATCAAACCTGAGTAAGCGCCAAGAAAACAGAAAACAGGAGAACCATGGACTGTGTGCTGCTGGTGCTAATGTTGAGCACATTAGGAGATTGGAGAAGTGTAGAAGATAGGCACCATTTTAACTACATGCAGCCCACTCATCCTTTTTAAAGGGGACATATCATGAAAAATCCACTTTTTGTGCCTTAAATGCCTTATGTTGTGAAGTTGGAGCCTCTAGAAGTGCAAAAAAGTTGAAATCAGTCTCTTCATGGGTTGCAGAGAACACTTCATATTCTGTTTAGGTAAGATTTTTCAACCCGTTCTGATTTTGCCATTCTCTATTACGTCCATCCATCCATCCATTTTCTGCCCTTTAATCCATTTCTGGGTCAGGGGGGTGGCAATCAGAGATGCCACCCAAGTCTCATAGCACCGGCCCCTCACTGACCCTCTGCAGGTGGTGAGTCCACAGGAGGACGGCTGCTCTTTTGAGTGTGAGCATAGCCTTGATCTTTCAGTGGGGGCTTTTGGGCAAAGTGGGGTTAAGTGTCTTGCCCAAGGACACAACGACAGCAGTCATCAGTGGGAGTCGATGGAGAAGGTGCAGAGGTGGGAATTGAACCCACGACCTTCTGGCCTTAAGGCCAATGCTCTACCAACTGAGCTACTGTCGCCCCTCTCTCTATTACGTGTTTAGAATTATTACGTCACAGTATTTCAGTATTCACAGTATACTCTATTACGTGTTTAGAATTATTACGTCACAGTATTTGCAGCGAGACTGCCATATAAGGGCATGGGCGTCTAACAAAACACTTCGGCCCAGCCCTCCTCTACTGTGCATCACTTCATTTGTAGTCCAAGCTCAAGGATGCCAGCGAACAGGGCTGGACTGGCCATCGGGCGTACCGGGCAATGCCCAAAGGGCCGATGCCCATATTTGGGCCGGTCTGTCTGCCTCATACAAAACACATGTTTATGAGAAGTGT